TCTCGTTCGTCGCCGAAAGCCCGGATTTCGAAACGGATGTTTTATCAATCGTGCAGGGCTTCTTCTTCCCTTTGACTCATCAGTTTCTTCAAATACGATGCAAGTCGAGTCCGACTCTTAGACAGTCTGCATAATCATCCTTCCAATTGATACAATTAGTGAAAATTGAGTAAAGATATTTTTCACCGCTCTGTGATAATTATTATAGATGTATCTAAGCAGTTTTGATGAGCAGTTTTTCTAAGATGTCACTTCTGAGATGTAATTTCCTATTCTAAGCGAAAACTCTTACTGAAAAAGTATTTCTCTTCTGATGAGGTGGACTATTAATTGAAAATTTATTTGATATTATTAGTGATATTGATATTATTTAAGTTTTTATCTCCTTTGAGTTCAGAATAATATATTTACTCGAAGCAGAATGCCCTTCTCACTAAAAGAAATTTTTATTAATAAAAAGACGAAGTTTCTCCAATTTTTGGAATATTTCCTCTTTGGTCTCAAGAATCTTCTTAAGACTGTATATACCTAGACGTAAAGTATTGTTAGCCCATATATAAATCTTCTCAACCATATTGTTTTTTTCATATATATATGGTATAATTCAATATATGGAGGAGAATTTCGTCTTTTATTCAAATACTGAATCTGGTTTGCACGACCAGGTTTACGCGTGGATCAACTATACTGTTTTTTTCCATGTAAGAGTAAAAGAAACGTAAGATCTTCTAGGATTCAAAGTACTCTCCGCTAAGGATGAGATTCTTTTGGGTGAATAATATTGCAAAGTACCTCTCTGTAGACACACACGTGTATGAGTGTATTTTAAGAGACGCGTTGCCCGCGTAGATATTATTAAAGCGAGATCTCCGCGACGGTAACTTGCTGGGTCCTTTTTACGATTTCACGGTAATACGATCTGGATGAGTATCTAGGCCTCTTTGCGGCTTTATCTGAATCGGCGATATACAGGAGGCCGTCGCACTCGCTCGGGGGCTGGCGGGACTTAAGTGTCGTCGAGGGTGGAAAATGCAAATGAGTCCTTTCTCCCGCGGTAGGCTCATTCCTCGCAATTTTCTTGATTCGGCGTTTGCGGCGCCGACTTATCGCGAATTCAATTATACGGTCAGTGGGTGATATTGGCACGAACCGTGGCGTTTATCGCCAGCGCCGGAGGTACGGATATACCCGCCGTTTACGAGAATAATGTCGAGAAACGCTCTCGACTAACGCTCAGCCCGGAGAGAGTTCCGCCCTCGAATTATTTTCAAAAGTCCTCCTCTTCTTCTTTCTTCTCCTCCACCTCTTCCTCCTTCTCTTCCTTCTCGTCACCTGAAAAAGGTATACACACAGCGGTGGTCTACGTGTTTCGTCATGAACAACACAACGCGGCTGATCAAAAAATACGTCACTTACTATTTTTATTTAATAAATATAATATTACATCGTAAAACGTAAGGAATATCGTACGTAATCGTCGCGATTTTCGGTGGTCCGCGCTCGCGCGATCCCAAACGAGCTTCGCTTCGCGAATCGTCCGAGCGACGGCGAACATGTATATTTATATATATATATATGTATATATATATATATATATATATATATATATATATATATATATATATATATATATATATATATATATAACTTTATTCTTTGATATATTTATATAGATTTTTTCTCTTCTAACGACAGCACAAAACATATAGTATGTTACAATATCGTTACAAGGACACGCATCGTGTCCGGAGCGGCTCTTGCCGCACTGTTTTTTTGGGATATTTCAGTGTTTTCTCGCTGGAAATGTTCGCGAATAGAGTGCAGTATTATCTCCGTGACGCGGAGAATATACGAAGAACTCGCGCGTGTCGTCCCCCGCGGAAAAAACTCGGTCCTCGGGCGCGAGATTCGGCTGCGTCGAGGCTTTCTTTTGATTTGTTACGCTTGAGTTTAAGCGAAGCGGACGACTGGATATGTATCGAGGGCAGTGCTGTGTGTCGTTAGCGTATGTGTGGCTGTGTGTGTTCGTCGATGTTGAAGATAATATAAAGCCCGATATACAAATATCAAAGCAATGTGTACGGATTTATTAGCGGGAACTAAAGTGAGAAATAAAACGAGAGAAAAGAAGACAAGTTTGAACTACTCGCAATTAACAGCCGATTGCGCAATGCGCGAGTGGTTACATCATCGTCGAGCTAACGAACGGATGAGTGGAGATTTATTTTTGCAAACGTTCACACTTTTAACCGAAGGTCGGGCCTGATAACATGTGTGTGTGTGCGCGCGCGCGCGTGCGCAATTAAAAGTGACAAGAGCACATCATCACGGAAAAGAACGACTTACCACATTTCACTCGCGCATTGCTCTTTACGATCTATCGGCTTAACGATCTCATCGACGATCCCTCTATCTATACGACGTCGTTAAGCCTGTGAATACACGTTCGCGCCGTGAACCGTGAAATTTATCGGAACCGTGAGTTTATCGACAAAATTTTCATAACTGATGTTTACGAAGCTTAATTACGAGGACGCCGGATCGCGTCAAAGAGTGTGACGGCCATCGTCGCCTTTAATTTTTCAACTTTCCGACTGGAGGCCGCTCGCGACTGGATATTAAGTTCTCGATTAAAACGACACGCATTTCGAACTCTCGTTGAGAGGCAATCTGCGTCGGAAAATAGAGGATTCGCGACTGAGTGAGCGATTGGGGCCGACTTGTGAAAATGAACAGACGGAAACTGCTCTCCTTTAACAGAACGGCAATTTAACGTATCTATAAAATTCGCACGAAAACATTACATAAAATATATACGCGAAACTTAAAGTCGCAATTGTAATCACTACGCAAATACAATCACCGAGAAACCGTTGATTCTCTCATAGTGTCGTTTACGAGCACGAACTCCATCCTAAAGAAAAGAATTCGCGCGTGTAAATTTATTTTTTTTCCGCGAATAAAAGCACCGCCACGCGTATCTCCCGGTCGTAATGATTTTATCTGCGCGCCAGGCGCCGCGTGTCCATTTTGCGTTTTCTTCTTTTTCGCGTGAACGTAGCGAGCGTAGTTTTACGCGACGTTTTTTCTCTCGACGTGTTTGTTTCGCGTCGGAGAGAGAAGGAAAGAGAGAGAAAGAGAGAGAGGAAAGTAGGAGGGAGAGGGGGAGGGGGAGGAGAAGGAGGAGGAGGAGAAGGAGGAGGAGAGAGAGAGAGAGACAAGGTGGAAGGCGGAGATGAAGTCTTAGGGGCTTGTTTTCAGGCCACCGTCGAAATTCACGGAGGAGAGGAAAGGGGTGAGCAGGGGAAGGGAAGGGGGAGGCGGTCGGCAGGGCACGGACCACTACCGGAGAGAAGGGATTACATCCCACGAGGCTGGAAGTAAAAAGGGAGTTTTTGTTTGAGAGCCTTTTAATTTTTAAGCCCACCCAGCTAAAGCGGACGGCTCGGTCTGTGTAATGAATTCCGCGACGTTCCCGTGACGTCAGATCGTCCCTATCGACCGCATCCTTCGGGACACCATTGGAGGATGCGCTCCGGCGTTTGCGATTAAGCGTACCGCCTTGTTACACCGCGAATCGAGAGGAATCAGCCCCGCGAGCTGGTCAACGACGTCCGCGCGCCGCCGAGGATGAGGGCGAGGATGATTGCGGGATGTCATCAGGATTCGCCGGTGACATCAGGATTCGCGAAGGATTCTTGGGCCGCGGATTCTTCCTGTCGCGCGACTGGAGTGATCTGTCGCGAGGAACGAGCGCGTTCGAATTTTTTCGAAGAACCTTTCGGCCACGTCTTCTCACTCGTACTGTACTCGCACATACGCACAAGCGCCGTTCGCGTGTGCGCAGATTTTTTACAAGTAAAGTATCGATACTGCCGGAATAAGATTTTGCAATCCGCGCGCCTTTTTCAGCCTCGTCAGGACCGTCATCGCTGTTCACGGCTGACGTATTGAGATGTCCTCAAAACGCACTCAGCTCGGGCGTTGGACAAGCAAATGTAATAAGCGCGAATTCTTATTATTAATAAGAACATTGACCACGCAGAGAGCGAACGAGAGCGGTCGTGTCTGCGCGCCGCTCGGCCGGTATCAGGAAGTTTTGCTGTTGTGTGTACACGGTTGCATTGTGCATGACCCTGACCCATCTTTCATATAGACCTCATCAACGTCTTCTAAGTCGAGGTACAGTCCGATCTAGACTAGCAGCGAGACTGGCCGCTAAAGAGGGACAGAAGCGTGTGATGTGGACGACCGGAAGCAATCGGTTTACTCACCCTCCACCACTTCGGGACTTAAGGAACGCGTCGCTTTTATTATCGATCATCTTGGAGATGCAATCCGCCACCTTCTCCTCCGAATGGCACACATGTGCATTCGCACACACGCGATGTGCAAATGCGACGTCGAGCGATGTCCGACAGTGGTATTTCCTTCTTTCTTTCTTTCGTTCTGTTTCCTTTTCTACTCCGTAAAAATCGATCGACGCGTGGCGATATACTGATACAAGCTGACGACATGAAGAACTAATCGCGGGAACGAAATAAGCACGACTGCGCGCACGCGCGAGAGAGACAGAGAGAGAGAGAGAAAAAGT